GGGAGCAAGACATTGAGGTGGAGAATGAGAATGAAACAAGGAGACAATTCTGGTTTGAATTTCACCTGGCCCAAAGTCTTCCCTCTGTCCACAGACTGACAAGACAGGAAAGCTCCAACAAGCCATAATGATGGTAGTCAGGAGCAAGTGCTATCAGACTCGTAAAGCAGCAAAGGCCCTGATGAGGCCTTAGTAAAAACTGTGTTATCCAAAAAAAATCCTCTCTGAATGCTTAAATTCACTCAGTGGACTTGGCAGGAGCAGGGCAGGGACAAGTGTTTTAATGAGGATACACTACAGCACTGTGCTCACAATCCAAGACCAAAGCCCCGGATAGACACAACCCTCTTGGAAGTCCCAAAGGGTCAGACCCACATGAAAATTTACAGCAAGGTTATGATATAATTAACCTGAATTATCTTCTAAATCTCCCACTGACATATGTCTTATCCCTGAAGCCTATATCCATGATCAGCAAAGAAGCTTTTTGCTTTTGTTCAGCCTAAATGATCAAGGTATGTTGGATTGAAGAGAAAGAGCTGGTCAATGCTTTCTATTATTTTCTCATATTACTACAAAATTTTTTTTAAATGACTGCTCTATTCACCCCCTAGAGTCTGCAGAAAGAAAAGTCTGTGATTATTACTTAAGCATCATAGTGAGTCCCTTCCCTGTATGGGAGAGGAAAAAAGCAAAATCAAGACTTTCATCGTCTGTTTATAACAAGTCTGTTACCATAGTAACACCTGTGATGTCACAAATGGTACACCAAAGGCTGTCTCTGAGGAGGAGGGTAGGGCAGGCAACTCTGCTCGAGAAGACAGATACAAACAAGCGAGGTCAAAGCAAGGCCCATGCAGTGGTCACCACCAAAACACAAGAAGGTGGGAGGTGGGAGAGCCTGAACAGCAGTTCTCCAGGCCCAAAAGCTACACTCACACTTCCATTTGCAGCTGTGAAAAAGGAGAGTGGAAATGCAAGAGAATAGGGTATCACCATGTTCCCAATCACGAGTATTCCACTGGGCCCACTGCCTGCCAAGTCATGGGTGGGATCCAGAGTTCAGTCTGTCTGAGTGCATGAATGCACTCTTGGGAACCGGATGGAGCCCTCTGGCACCCTGAAAGAGATGCAACTAGCCTCATCATGACAAGTACTTCAAAACCAACCTGGGTTCTATCCCTGCCAGGTCACTCAGGTTCACAGAACCACTGGCTCTTGGGGCTGGGGAGGAATTCACAGAGTCTCCCAGGAGACATGAACTTCGAAAAACAACCATTTGCAGGAAAATATCCAATTACTGGGGAATCTGGAAGTAGTATCACCCTACATGATACTAAAACAGCCCAGGAAAGTTTTAAAATATGATGAAAAGGTAACTTTATATTTAAAAAAAAAATACTGCATTAGTAGTCAGAAAGACCTTAGTACTATTCTTGGCTTGAGTACTTAGAAGCTACGTGACTTTGAAAAAGTCATTTATACTACCTTTACTTCTTTATTTAATTATATCATACATGCCATTTCCCAGATTAATTGTAGTTTAAATAGAATAATGAATGTCAATGAGTTTCAGAAACTGTAAAAGATTTCATACAAACATATAGCATTACTGCCAGCATTCTTGTATAGCCAGGTTACAGGACAAAAGTACAGTATAGCATAAGGTACACACAAAATTTGCATCTTTCCAGTCTTCAGTTATGGACATCTGCATAATACAATAAAATCTTAATTATTCAGAGAGGCTGATTAGTAAAGGGGCCTTCTGCTTCTAGTCACTGTGCCCTTAATTACTCCCTATCAGGAATGCCATGTTAACCTTTAGGCAAGCACAGAACGAATGATGGATGTACCTCAACTAAAACTTGGCTAAAAGATTCAGCAAAGAAAAAAAAATTGAAACAATAAACCAGGTGGAAGTTTTTGAAAAATCTGTGCCCTTTATTTAGCCATAGATAAATAAGAATGATGGCATCTGGGCCCGGCGCGGTGGCACAGTGGTTAAGCTCCTCGCCTTGCACGCCCGGGATTCCATATGGGTGCCAGTGCTAATCCCAGCAGCCTTGCTTCCCATCCAGCTCCCTGCCTGTGGCCCGGGAAAGCAGTCGAGGATGGCCCAAAGCTTTGGGATCCTGCACCCATGTGGGAGACCTGGAAGAAGTTCCTGGTTCCCGGCTTCGGACCGGCATAGCATCGGCCATTGAGCTCACTTGGGGAGTGAATCATCGGACAAAAGATCTTCCTCTCTGTCTCTCCTCTCTGTATATCCACCTTTCCAATAAAAAAACAAAAAAAGAATGATGGCATCAAAGTCAGCTGTCTGAACAGGTTGGAATTAAACCATATAGAATAACATCGTCTCTCAGGGAACAGCAACATTGTTGGTCCTTGCCCAACACATGTGCCATAGAATTAAAATTAAAGCCATTCACCAACACTGGTGAGCCAGAGCCCACCACATACCCTGAAAACACAGTTTCCTGTTCCTGTTACTGACCCCCCACTATGCTATCACACAGAGTATCTCAACAAAGTTCACCGCCTGGTTCTTTAAAACACTATTCAACCTCCTGCTATCATAAGACTTTGGTTAATCTCGCCCAAGGCAAGGCTCAGCCAACTACAGTCCCTGAGCCAAGCCCCAAATATCGATTCTTTTGCAAATAAAGTTTTATGGGAACACAGCCACGATCACTTCTTTATCTGTCATCCATAGCTGTCTTTCTGCTACAATAGCAGACTCCTGCAGCTGTGATGGAGACAATCAGCCCAGAGAGCCTAAAATACTACCTGGCACCTTCCAGAAAAGATTTGTTGACTCCTGACCTACTGCAACTAAAGCAAAATTCATCTTCCCACATAAGTTTCTGCTGAGAGACTAATAGAGTAAGTTCACTGAAAGCAAAGAACCACTCTCCATCTTTGTCTTTTTATAAAAGAGAGCCCTGGAGGTGGACAAAGCCAAGGTTTTCCAACAGACACAGAAAACTAAACGTGTCCTTCCCTACATTTTGTTTTCAACAGATGAGTGCCTTGGAATTTCATGGAAGACAGCACACAACTACTGGTGTTCTGTCACTCTGGCTTCTAACTCCCCAGAGTTCCTATGCCTAAGACTTCCAAGGTTTGGTTTTTGGCATCTATCCCTTTTCATATTTATTTCCTGATCTGATGTGGAATTAGAGTTAAATAGAAGCTGTGTGCTTGAATTCCACGTGGCTGGCTCAGCAGGAAACTTCAGGGCAGGTTTTTTGGCATGCCAAACTCCTGTTTGCCTCAGCTATGCTAATTTCTAGAGCTGTCTGATTTGCCCCAATAAATTTCGGGGATAAATCTGCAAATGCACAGCTTTTTATGCACAAATTATGTGCATGATAACTCTAGGGCAGAATAAGAATTGAAACAGAAAAAAAAAAGAGGTATGGTATTAACTGATTTGTGAGGCAGGCACTATGCTAGGTACTTTATAATATTTTTATAACCTCTCCAGAACATCCCCTTTGAGGCACTACTATCTCCATCATCTTACAAAAGAGAAAATTGCAGGACAGAGAGCCTTTAGAACTTGTCCACATCTGCAGAGCTTGAAATAAGAAAGCCTAGATGTGAACTCCATCTGTCTGAATCTGAAGCCACTGTTCCTGTGACTCAATCAAACTGCCTAACCGAGAGCCCCATCGCCAACGCCGCCCCTCACCTAAGCTACATGAACATGCATTACAGCATGAACTCTGTGCTTACAAAAGCAATCACAACTATTTCCTGGCCTGTGCAAAGCTTGCTCCTGATTCTTGGGAAATAAATTTGGTCTCCTTCATATCACAAAACAACCACCTGAAGAAGAATAGAGGCATTAATAAGATACACTTCATATGACAGACCAATTATATCTGCAATTAGTAGACAAAGAGAATTACAAACCATTTTGACAAGGAAGTAGAATAAATGGCATATGTAAGAGACTTAGTCTGAAAGGACAGTTCTACTGCAAAAATGTAGTAGGCCAAGCAAGAGAATTTAGCCATACCCATGAAGGAAAAGACACTTAGAATGTGAATATATCTATAATATAAGCTGAGTTACTTTTATCTAACATATCTTTTCTGCTTATGGAAACATAACCAAACCCCCCTAATAAAATTAAAAGCATTATCTGTAGTATGTTACCATAAGCACAGTTTTGAAAATCAGCATTTATCAGATTCAGTTCAAAGCACAGAAAAATAACTGTTGTCACAATGGCACAGTCTAGCGTGATAGCAGCATTTCACAGCAAGCCGGATAGAATGCTACGTGACTTCTTTCCCAGTGTGGAACATATCTGTTTGCGTCATCACATAACAGTCCACTCCCACTCAGGTCCAATATACTGCCACCTTATTTTCTAAAAATATAAAGGAACTGATTACACTTCCATGTAAGTGATATTCAGTTCACCATTTCTTTAAAAGTCCTTAGAGAGGGGTTTGCAAGCATTAGAAGGAAATCTGTGGAGAAGATGCATAGCCAAAGTTGTCTCTTAAACAGAATTTAAGGAAGGTTTGATAAGAAACACGCTACCTCATGCTCCTTTATGAAATTTTACAAAATTAACCCATTTCTCAGAAAATGCAGAGAAGATGTGGCTCTCTTTCTGTATCACCCAGTTAAACCAAAATTTCTTTTTTTTGTTGTTGTTGCTAGCCAGTCATTACATGTATCTTACTTATTTTTAATTGTCTCATCCATTTTTTAAGCAGGTGACTTCAGAGAAGAAAATTTTCTTGAAGCTAATGGTAGAAATGATTTATTATCAGTTGAAAGTGTACAGCCTAAGCAACAGCAGAAAATTCTCCTAATATTACAATAATATTTTTAAAAATACATGCGCTAACTAGGCTATAAAATTCCTGAAATGGACTTTACCAGGGTAGCTGGAATGTTTAATAATTATTTGTAAGACAGTGAAAACAAACTCCTCGGAATCATTAGCCACAGAAACCCTAGTAGTAGCTTACCTGCTGGTGGCTTTATAAAAGGTGGTGGAATTAAAGGTACGATAATGGGCACATTGCCATGATCCTTGGGCCCTGCAGGTGAGTCACTGAGTCCATTTCCAGTGGCAAGCCCTGAATAGCCTGTGCTTATATTGTATGGCGAAATAACACTGTCCTCAGGTAATTTTGGTTTTGGCATAGAATTTTCTAAAAAAAAAAAAAAGAATATATACATATTCATTATGGTAGAAGAATTTATTCAGTAGACTTAATTTTTGTTATTTTTCTCAACCAAAATGGTCATGTAACAAAACACATTTTTTCTTGCAAATCTTTATACAATTTATTAGAACTCTAGAGTCCATTCTGGACCTTTTTAGTCCTGTTACCATAAATTTCCAACAAGCTTCTTTATAATTTGCTCCACTATGATAGCTAATATCCCAGCTGAATCATGGTGATGAATTTTAGCACCGTAAAATCCCATAGAAAATTGAGAGGCAATTAACCTTTTCCATGTGGAAAGTGATAAATAGCAGGTACCAGGGAGAAAGCCTAAAACGTGCCTTCCCCCAACACTGTAACCAGACTCCACCGTATCATAAACTCGGGCTGTAATAATCAAATGAAAACATAAGAAAGTAGCAGATGATTAAAAAGAGAGCTACTATTTTACACGTGATTGGTAATATTAAAAATTAACAAAAATGAATGTAAAGAAAAATGAGAATGTTACGAACTTCGCACATTTCATCCTTGCAAATGAATCATCAAACAAACCCTCAACCATGGAAAGCAACTTTTTCCCTCCAGTGATGTATCCTGGCACACTCTCTTTCCACATTCCCCAGAGGCAAAGATTGTTACCTGAGCCAACTATTATAAGAGCTATTAGTTTATACAATATAAACTCACAGCTTGCATTTTTCACTTGCAATGAAATGGATGATGTTATCTCTCTAACATGATGTGTATGCACAATTTCATAGCAAGCTTCACATAAAAGACATCACATATATTCAATTCCACATGCCTGCAGGACAGTGCATCTACACTCAATTCCTTGGCATATAAGGACAAACACTATCTTAAAGGCTGGAAATAAAATGCTTATTTACACCAATAGATTTTGAATGCAACGCAAATGCTGATGACACTGCCAGGGATGACGCACAATTAACTTTACCTATATCTTATAAAGTTACCCAAACGGGTTACTTCTCTTACCCTTTGCAAACACATACAGGTTCATAAATTTGGTGCCCATACAGACATCTTCCATGAGCTACCTGGCACTGATACCGACTGGGAAAATCAGTGCTAATTCAACTCTGTCGAGCCTCTGTAATTACTCCTCTTTCGCTTGGCTTTCCTGAATTTTCTCAGAAAATAATATGGGAGGCGATTATTGACTACTTTCTCTTATTCCTCTCTTTACCCTAGTCCAGATGGTGGGGTCAGAGAAAGACAGAAATATTACATACAAAATGAAAATAGAGCTTCCCTTTAGAATTCTCACCAAAAAGAAAAGAAAGTGGGGATTTCCAAAATAACAATGTATCTTGCTTGCAATCTGAAAACCTAAATCAAACATTTAATATAACAGATCAGTCCTCAATAGTCTGATGGTATATATTATAGGGATTGTAAATCATGAGTCAGCCAACATCGTCTCTTTGTATATACCTATGGTCAGTACAATAGCCCTGAAGGTCACTAGCCTCTGTCTCCTTTCCCACTACTGGAAGGAGAGGAAGTCAAATCCATTTTTGTTTTAGGTTGTGTTCATATATTGTGTGCAATTCCGCTTTTGGGAAAAGCACTGCTGAGGATGTATATTTAAATCAACCTTGGGCATAATCAACAAAATGAGTCCCAAAGCAACTCAATTCTGGCAGGTTGAGATAGTTAATCCTTCTTTGAATGAACAAAGGGACATTAAATGTCATTACCTTTGAGAACAGAAATGTGCTGCCGGCTCTCCCCATCTGTAGGGTAGCTCCTGAATTCAATATCTTCACCATCTTTTAATTCAACCTTATCATAGCCATACCAGCCAAGGAGTTCATTCATGGTGTTTTCTGCAAAGTTCTATAAGAGAAGCATAAGCAACTACTTATTTATATAATCAATAACTGAAAAGAATGCATAAATTGAATTGTTTGCTCCACACCATTTATTGTCAGCTCAGCCCCACTTCCCCCAGAGTAGTATTCATTTTTCAAGTCACATTCAAAAATTATAATGCATTTAAATCTCAGAATGATGCATCCAATTACAGCAAGACCTCAGACATTTGCAATTCAAAGATAATAAGGAAAAGGCATTTGTCAGTTTCTCTTATGAATGGGAAGTCATATTTTAGCATATCCTTCTGCAAAGTCTATATTCCACAGTAATATAAAAATGTTGAAAGGTAGAAGACGAAAAAGGCTAAGAAAAAATTTGAAAAAATGGAAACTAACTTTTATGTAGTTCAGATTGATTTAAATTGGCATTGCTCTCTGAGTTCGGTGTTGTTTAACAGGACTCTTCTTTTAGAAAAAACAAAAGTCTCAACAAAGACATAATTTCTCAATTGTGAACCCTTGCAATACAGAAAGCTCAATAGGGTATAAGGGTCTCCCTTTTTAGCTTTCCCTTTTACAAGAGCAGTTTTTAAGGTCAATGCATAATTTGCTTTGCAAATTTCATTAAGATTCTTTCTCCATGAAAGCAAAGGTCACCATGATTATCTCTTAACAAATAATATAAAAGTACAAGTAACTTCAAGGTTATTAGCCAGCCCAGATTTTCAGACAATGAATGGAACTATTTATGAACTGTGAATCAATCTACAAACGTAGGACATTACTATTGTGACTGTTATTACGGATATCAAGTCAAAAATAACCAGTATAATTGGACAAATTTAGTATTACAGAGCAGATCACTATTTTATCAATTTATCAATTGCTAGGTCTGGAAACAAAATGTGAATCTGTGTGTTAAAGATCTTAATGTTTATTTCTACCTTAAATAATTCTGCCTGGCAACAGACTATGAGTCTCCTAGATTAAGCTAGAAAAACTGTATATTATAACATCTGTGACCCAAAGAATCTTATTATTTTCCCTAAGGCTGTCATTTCTAATTTACACTGCTACATATAACACATGTGCTTGAAACAAAGCACTAAGGCTAAACCAGGGTGTGAGTGGATTCAGTGTGTGAACTCCATGTTTTCCTGAATTTCATGACATTAGATTTCAGCAGGGGGTAGGGTGCATTAAAAAAAAAAAAAAAAAAAGCTATTCCACTACTCAATCCAAAAAAACAAACCTATCATAGCATTTCAAATCACCCACAAGGTGCTCAGGGTTTTTTTGTTTTGTCTTGTTTGGTTTGGTTTGCTTTAGTGCCCACTTAAATTCTGGGCTCCAATGGGATCAATCTGTGATGGTACCGTGCACTAGCAATTAAAAAAAGAAACAGAGCCAGGGTGACTCAGGGTTTTCATCCACAAGGCCAACACAGTCACACTGTGCTTCAGTGCAGCATTTATTCTTTGATGGCTGCTCATGTCCACATTAAATAGACATTCTCTTCATGAACACACAAAGATGTTATGATCGATATGAATAATAAGCACAGCAACTTCGGGAATACCACTGAGGAGGACTGGGCTAAACGCTGCTCTATTCAATCAAAGGTGATCCCTTTAAGGAGGTGTCAGTCTTCGCTAACACCTAATTTCTTTCCCTGAGCAGAGAGCCTGACTTGGGAATGACAGTCCTTAAGCACACACCCGAGGTCCTCCATCAGTGGTCTGGCAGCAGAAATCTCCAAGGATGAGGCTTAGAGCTTGCATCAAAAACCAATTCCCAACAGCATTAAAAGACACGTAAAAGCCAGCCTATTGGTCCAGGTGCTGTTTGCCCCAATCTCTAGAAGAACTGTGTCAACAAGACAGAAAATCTTTTGCATAATAACTCCTGGCTACCCTATCTAGTGTTAGAGACCATTCCAATCAAGGCACCACTTTCTCTGTGTAACCTCTGAAGTCACACAAAGGCTGTAGATGCATAATTCATGGAGCAACTTCCCAGCCAAGGATATGGATTTGTTTGTTGTCCAGCTGCAAATCCATTTAGCCTTTCAGGACCAGTCCTAGAGATGGGATCCAGAAGTTTCAGGCATTTGAATAAAAATGGGAAACGAAACTGGATGATTAACACCAAATTCATGCTATTTGGGCACCTTAACTGTAGCATTTAGTTCATAGTTTCTGCTGAAAACTCCAAGACTTCATGGAACAATCAATATGAACTTAATCTAGTCTACGATTTTTGAGTTACCATAAGTGTCAGGGAAAACAAACCCTAAAACATTTTCTTGTTTGTCATCAAAAATAAAGATTAAAAATGCTTTGATACAGACCTGCAAAGCAGAAAACAAAAAGCTTGTAAAATCTCAAACTGTAAGTTTCCAAAGTTTCATTAAAAAAAAGAGCCAGATGAAAGAGAGAGAACAAATAGCAAAGTCTCTTTCAAGATAGCTACAAGAAGTAGACTATTAATTCTGTCTTTACTACTGCATTAAGAAATCAAAGAACCCCAGGAAATATTCTTTTTTAATTCCTAGGCAAAGCTCAATGCTAGACATCATATGGACTTATTATAGTGCTAAGTGAAAGCAAGTAAAATATACTTCTGCCATTATCATCCAAGAAATACCACATTTTCTGGGGGAAATGAATGTAATGTTTATGGCCTTCAAGGATTTTCAAATCTTTCTGGCAGAGAATTACTCCAGATCTCTTTTTTCACAGCATTATTTGTATTAGTATCCATTAGGGGCTGGTGTAATGGCTAAACCTGCAAACTCTAACAACCCATATGGCCATCAATTTGTACCCAACTGCTCCACTTCCCATCCAGGTCCCTGTCTGTGGCAGAATAAAGCAAAGGAGGATGGTCCAAAGGATTAGGACCCTGCACCCACGTGTTAGACCCAGAAGAGGCTCCTGGCTCATGGAGTCAGACTGACCTAGCTCTGGACGTTACAACCATTTGGAGAGTAAACCAGCAGATAGAAGATCTATTTCTCTTTCTCTCTGTAAATCTGTCTTTCCAATAAAAATAAATAAGCATTTTTTAAAAAAATCCTTTAGAGAAGAAGTTTATATTCAAAAGCATATCTCTTAACTATATTTCTCATTCTTTAAAACAGAAAAAAAAAAGATGATTAGGGTTGAAACTCAGAAATTCTGAGGTCAAGATGTTTGGTAATAAAAGAAGTTACTGACTCCTGGAGGTTGTAAAATTTGTTCCCACCCAGATTTTTACTCACTGTTTCTGCTGGAGACCTAGGAAAAACACAAAACAGGGGTTCTCAGAAGTCCCTCATACTGTGAGGATCCTAAGGAGTCACAGAACTTTTACTCATTATAGATACATGCATATATATACATATATCTTAGAAACGTATGATTACAGTGGTAACACAAATTTTACTGAACACTCATTATTGCAAATATTGTTTCATTGCTCCCATTAACTTTCCAAATGTGCCACAGATTTCAGTACTCTGGCATCCAAACTACATTTTGCAGACCACCTCTCTCCCTTGGAAGTAACACAAAAATCCTTTCTCCCACCATGTGGTCCAACTTGGATTTTGAAAATAGGTCACTATCATTACAAGGATAGCATCTAATAACTTACAGTGTTTGTGTGTCTTTTTTTTTAAGATTTATTTATTTTTATTTGAAAGTCAGATATACAGAGAGGAAGAGAGACAGAGAGGAAGATCTTCCACCCGATGATTCACACCCCAAGTGACCGCAACAGCCAGTGCTGTGCCAATCCGGAGCTAGGAGCCAGGAACTTCTTCCAGGTCTCCCACAAAGGTGCAGGGTCCCAAGGCTTTGGGCCGTCCTTGACTGCTTTCCCAGGCCACAAGCAGGGAGCTGGATAGGAAGCAGAGCTGCCAGGATTAGAACCGGCGCCCATATGGGATCCTGGCGCGTGCAAGGTGAGGACTTTAGCCACTACAACACCGTGCCGGGCCTGTTTCTATGTCTTTCAACACTCTTGTTCCTTTCAATAACCCTATATGTTAAGTATTTAGTTTCCACAATAAGTTTCGAGTGAACCTAAGTGGTAGCCTCCCTTTACAAAGAAATCATTCCACCAGATGCTTATATCAAATATGAAGAGGTTGTCAATCAGAATGTAACTACATCTGTTGACATTTCACTTGCTTTCAGATCTGATCATTGGCCTCGGCTCCTTTTTTTTTACTTGTATGGTTGAAGGAGAAGAGCCCAAAATTCACAATTAAAAAATGAATCCTCTCATTCTAGAATTTCCTGACATCATATCTACCTCTATTGCTTTGTACTTCTAATAAGCCTATCTGATTCCCCTATCTCCTGCTTACCCTCTCCAATCTCTGCACCTCCAGGTCTCCTAAAGGAAAGACAATCCTGATGCATAGTCTGAACGTATGATATTTTGATCAATGAGACAGATGGAAAAGAAATTCTACCACCTTTTCACTCCTTCTGAGTTCTTTCTACAGTAAGAAAAAAAAAATCTTTTTGTGTGTGTAAAAGAGACCTTAATTCACAGGCTATTCTTTAGACATCCTCCTTATTCAATTGGAAATCCTACACAAACGTCAAAATTCAGTCTCAATTAATTTAGTCAAATATTCCAGCTTGTAAATAATAAAGAGCTAACTTCCAGGTACTCCGTAAATAGTAATCATCACAAACTCTTGAAAGCATCTCTAAAACAAAAACTTCAAGGTCTTCAAAAAGGACTTGCTGATTTCACTTATTTTGGACACACCAGATTCTAAAGCATACATAAGCACTAGTAATATGGTTTTTTCATACCTGGCTTGTATAACTGAATGCTGATATGCTCTTAAATCTATATCCTCCCCAAGCTGGCATGATGCATTCAAAGAGCTCTCAGTGACTCACAAAATGAGAAAAAAGTCATGCCCTCCCTCTCTCCACAAACGTAATTCCTATTTTAATCCAAGTCTTACTCCTAGCAAAATATGTCATTTATCACAAATACACTATGAGTTAAGTTGAG